AATCTCTTTAGGACCTAGCAGCTCCTTCTTCAGAAAAGAATGCGTGACTCATTTCATCCTGCAAGAGCTCCTTCAACTGCCAGAGAAAATCTCCCTTCCTAATTACTGAGCCATGTCCGGACCCTTCTTCTCTGCTAAAAAGGAAGCCCTGAGAAGCCACCCGTGGTCTGTCACTGAGGTGAGGTGGTCTGTGTGGGGAGTCCATGCTTGCCCGCGCTCAGGCAGGACCTCCTGCTACAGGCCAGGTGACGCTGGAAGGGCTGGCGAAGCCGCAGTGGCAGCAGAGGGCCCTAGCAGCCACGGTGCCAGTCCTAGCTGGCCCACTGTGGCTCTAGCTGTGGGCCTTTGCTCTGAGAGGTTATCAGCTAAGCCTCCTCTTTCATTGGCTTCTTCAGCGCTTGGTTTCTCCTCCAGTCCTTGAATATGTCAGTGTTTTTGGAAGCAATTACCTGGACCAAGTCTCTCCTGTTGAAATGCCTGGCATTCCCCTGTTCCTGACTGAACTGTACTATCTAGGGCTCCAAACCAGAAGGAGTTCAGAGATGAAGAGGAGTAGCTAACCAATGTGGACCGTGGGCCCGGTCACCAGGGGAACAGCAGGGGCCTCTCAGCCCCACCATGAGCCTGCGGAGAAGGACACACGGAGGGGAACGCTCTGCAGAACAGCAGGGGCTGCTGCACTGGACCACTATAAAGGGGCTTTGGGGGTGGCCCGCCTCTGCCCACACCTTTGAAAAGCCATTTTTAAAGAGAGACACGAACAATGTCTCATTCCTTGCCATCCCCAAGCTCTTCACTTTCACATCTACACAGCAGCTGTCTGCAGGGCAGTAGGAAGATGGGGGACCTCTGCCCAGGGACCCCAGCTCTGGAAGAGCAGGGCTTCTTCTGAGGTGCCTGGACACAGCAGGTGCTCAGGGCATGATGAACGCAGACACTCACTGGAGCCAAGCTGTGGGCTGCGAGCCTGGCTCTGCCCAATGCTCACTACAGGATTCAGTACCAGCATCCTTTCCCACCGTGCCTCAGTTTACCATCTCTACAGTAGGGTTAGACATAGCACCTGCCTAATGGCGACACAAAGGCTAAAATGGTCCAGGACTCAAAGTACTCAGGACAGGGCTCAAGACACAGAAGTGCCACCCAAACGCAGGCTCTGCCGGTGGTGAAGGGAGTGGCATAGGTGGTGCAATGACCCTGCAGTGTCACAGAGCCACACAGAGAGCGGCTGTCGATACTGACAATGGCCTGGACCCCTTCTTCCAAGAGAACAGACAACATGTACACTCTTGCAGAGGGACCTACGAGGAGTCTAGGCTAAGGTCTTGAGGACCTCATGAGATTGGGCTTCGTGGGAAAACAGGAGCCAAAAGAGCTGGAAGGGAGTCCTGTGAGAAAGAGAATGAACAGACAAACCTGAGTTCTGCCTCTTTCTGGAAGCAGGCTGGAGAGAGTGGCTCCTTGGAGCCCGGGTTAGATGCTCACGGGTGATGCCTGCAGCCGGTGACTCCCCGATGGTGATGACCAGCTGTCTCCTCCATGCCCTGCGTCTTCCCTCCTTGGGAGACAGGTTCAGGCTCCTGCTGCAGGCTCCTTACCCCTTCATCTTCCCCACCCCATCCTGGCTGAGACCCACAGTCATCCTTAAAGGTTATTTCATTGAGCACAGTGCCCACAGTTGAACAGCACTCCCAGCATTATAAACATAACCTTCCAGACAATCGTTTTTAAAATCTGGTTACAGTTTTTTCACTATCACTGTGACAAAATCTTTTCCTGAATCTTGGAAGTTGAGTAACTATAACAACAAAATGTTCCCCATCACTGTCAGGCTGGACAGATACAGTCTGCTCATGACTATGGGGAGTGGGACTTTCTGGAATCTTCAGGGATGGGAGGAGGAGGGTCAGTGAGGGACCGGAGTCCTCTGCCTACCCCAACCATACCATCCTGTCACTGGAGCCGATATGTTGGCAGAGCAGAGAATATCTATCTACCTACTATAACATCATTAAATCTTCTTGAATCTTTCTTCCTTTCTGTTCCATAGACTTGTAACTGAGCTACAATGCAGGGATAACTTTGCACTCTGATCTCTCAAATTCCCTCCTAAAATTATGTAGATCATAAATATTTGCATTTTTGCTATGTAACCCTGTGTTACTGCTACATAACATGCTCTCAAGTGGCTTAGGCCTAATTTTTTTAACATTTTCTCTCATAAAGGTTGCTTGTTTCTAATTTTTAACTAACATTTGGCATTTTTCAGCTGATTCCGGATTATCAAGGGAAACAGAGAAGCCATGAGATGACCATGGTACCCATGGGCCACCCATCCTGACTGGTCCTCTTTCCTAGCAGAAGTATTAATCGTGATCTTTTCACTCTGGAACAAGGTCTACAACCAGTCTACGAGTTACTGAGTCACTGCATTAGTCTGCATTCTGTTGCTATAATGAAATACACGATGCCGGATGACTTGTAAAGAAAAGAGGTTTATTTGGCTCAGTTTGGGAGGCTGAAAGTCTGATTGGAGCCAATCCTTTGGGGCCCTAGGCTATGTTGCCTCTTGATGGGAGAACTTGCAGGAGGAAGGGACCACACTGAAGACAGGAAGCCAAAGACTGGGGAGGGGACATCACTACCTCCCACCAGGCCCACAGTAACTTCAGCACACCGAGGGGCACACAGCCAACACAGGAAGCTTGGGGGACACACGGCCTAGCAAGGAATTCATTCAGAAATGCACAACCTAGAGACAGCTGCCTCGGCCAGGCCAGCAGAGATGCTCCAAACCACACCCAGCTCCCTTCCTGCTTCTGGTGAGCCTGGCCCCACCCTGCCGCAGAATGTCCCTGAGGCCTGATCAGGGGTCACTTCAGAGCTGGGGATGCCCTGGTGCGGGTTCCTTTTCTGTGTCTGGGACTAGGCAAGCAGCCACTGAGCAGCAGAGTCAGGACCACGGGGGACAGGTGTGGACTCCACATGGCTGAGCTGGGCCTCTTCGAAATTCAGTTTCTTCACCAATAAAATGGGTCAGATAAAAGCGTGGAGGAGCTTCCGAGGAATCAGAATAACAAAGCATGGAGTGCCTGCCTCCCTCCTTCCCTGTCCAACCCCTTACAGAAGTGAATTCACCCTCTCTTAAAAAGAAGTTAGATGAAGTCCATGATCAAAACAAACCATCAGAGCAGGACAGACAGACCTTTCATCTGTGTGTGTTTGTTTTTTTGAAACAGGGTCTCACTGTGTAGTCCAGGCTGACCTTGAACTCACTATGTAGCTCAGCCTGGCCTCGAACTCACAAGGATCCTCCTGCCTTAGCCTCCCCAGTGCTGAGATTACCCAAATGCAGCATCACTCCAGATTCTCTTGCCCATTCCTGAAGTGCCCGGGAGGGCAGGCACCCCCAAGACATGGGCCCCCAAACCTTGCAGGCTTGCAAAGAGTCTCCAGGGTGGGCTGGGGTTATTTTTCACAGTGAAAATTTCCAGTGATTTGGGAAAAATGAAGGCGTGAAACATGAAGAAACCGAAGCCGACGAGTTGGAGCTCCGCTACAGATGAACACCGACTCCAGAGAAACGCGGCGTCCTGGAGCTCAAGCCAAACACAACCACAGTGAGGACCAGACTCCTGAGCCACTAGCTGTGGCGACTGCATGCTGCGACAAGGCCAGCGCACCTCGGTCCCCCGAAGCCGGCCCGGGACCGCGCCCCTCTGCGGTAGCTACGGGGAAAGAAGTCCTGGGATGACTCGGCAGCCCTTTGCAGGGGACCCCTGTTCGAAACGCCCGGCCAGCGGGAGGATGCGCACAGGCGAACCGCTCGCCTTTCCCTGGTGCGAGTGGGGGCTCTGAATCCCGTCCCCAGCCCTGCACCCCGGGTCGGTCCTGATCCAAGCGCCCGCGCCGCTCAGACTGGTGCGCAGGGACCCGGGCTCCGAGGGTCGGGGGCGGCGTAAGCCGGGTACTGCGCCCCACCCCACCACCCCCGGGTTGTTTTTTGAGGAAGAGATATATATGATCAGATTAGAGAAAAACAACACAGTGGTTTTGTTGTATTCAAGTTTTCTAGAAGGTTTGGCTACCCCAGCAAGTACTTCAGAATCCTACGGGTTTCAGTATGATAGAAGTTTATTTCTGCCTTATCTAACAGTGCTGCATGGTAGTCCAGAACCAAGTGGGGATTCTGCATGCTGAGTACTCAGGTTCCATCTCTTATGCTGCTCTGCC